GCATTCCTTTTAGGTTAAGCTTAGGGTACTTTTAATATTTTCATATTTTTTCTATTTCATCAGTTCTGGGAAGTTCTTATCTATTATGTAATGAAAAAATCTCTCTATAATCTATTTTAGCTTTGCTATTTTATTACTTCAATTAAGAGGATATTACATCCTCTTATTGTATCTTCTCCTATCTGTTCTTTATAATTTGTTTATTATATTTACCTTCTCTCTGCTTTTTTCTAGAACTTTTTTCTAGTTCAGCTATGTCTAACTTGCTATTAAAACAATGGTTTGCTTGGTGTCAGGTTTTTTGGCTACATAATCTCTAGATGATTTTTATTCATTTTTATATTGAAAAATGAATTTTTAATTCCTTGCTCTAAGTTTTAAATTCACATTTTTCTTCTTCCAAGCATAATAAATGTAATTGTATCACAATTTATAGCTAATGATTTGCACAGCCAACCTTCCACTGGGTAAGCATCTATTAAGTTATTCGACTAATTCTAATTTGTGCATTTTCTGTTGCATGCATCACCATCTTTGTTGATGTAAATAATTATTTTCAAAAAATACCTTGAGTCCTGGGGTGTTGCAGTGAGTTTTCTGGGCCGAAGTATGTGCTGGCTTGAAAGACCAAATTTTGAGAACTGTGTGGATTTTCGCAATCATCTAGATAGTCAAGTAGGGTCTATTTTCTCGGCTACTTCCTAAAGATAGGCTTTCAGTTCCTACCCAGCAAAGACCACTGCTTTGGGTCTTCCGCATTTATCTATCCGTGAGTACTTACTCTCATCTTTCCATTCCAAGCATGTGTCTGTTAAATGACACCTTCCTCCTCAGACACATCCTAAGGATTTTGAGAAGTTCTGGGCACACAGAAGCCACTGAGATCCAATCTTTCAGGGAGGGTGACTCAGAACTCTGATTCTTGTATATTACCTGTACAATTATTTCTTGAAAGTTACTTAAAATTCATCTGCATTGAAAATTACAAAAAGATAATCAGTAATTTTGAGTAGTGAGAATTTGTTTTCTCCCCTTTTGATTTCCTTTATGTCATAAATTTCCTAAGTTTAGCTTATCTTGGCTTTTTAAAAGAATTGTTTATTGATGCACTTTAGGCATTTGTAATGATCTCATTCATCATAGTGATGTGTACCTGTACCAGGTATATCTTTATTCTTTTATTTCATCATCTTCCTACCCTCCTTTCAATCCCTCTTCTTGTTCCTATTTAACAAAATCTTTGTTTCCATTTTTTGTTTCTCTCCTAATTTTAAATTAAATGTTAAAAAATGAAGTATTTATTTTTTCAAATTAATGTTACATGAAGCCTTGTTTATATGTATTACATAAAATTCTTCCAATAATAAGATAAAAGTCAAAGAGTATATGATAAAGTTCTACAAGTTATATTGTAGATAACACAATTGTTAGCCACAGGTAATAACAGATGTCTAGAATAAATATTTACACATGGACTTCTAAAAAATCACAAAGTTATTCTAGGTTTTCCTTTTAAGATAATCTTATTTTTAAAAGTTGCAGTTACAGTGTCTAAAGTAAGCCCTGATTTAAAATGATTTCAAGCATCACTAATTTTTCAATTATTTCCTCAATGTAAAACTAAAGCTCAGCCAAAGAAAGCAGTTTTTTAATATCTGATAGTACAAACAAAGTATCAGATGTTAATAGAAAAAGACATTTCTAACATTCATCTTTTGTGTAATAAATAAGGCTGGGGAGATGGCTTAGTGGAATAAGCACTTCCCTGGTAAGTGCAAGGTCCTGAGTTCAATCCCTGGTTCTGCCAATAAATACATACATACATACATACATACATACATACCATAACCTGAACAAATAGTATGAATTAATTGGAGAAAGGCATAGTGTAATGGTCCATGGAATGTGTTCCTTTTTCTTCTAGTATCAAGTTGCTTTTTGCAAAGGATGTCAGTAGGTTAAGTCTTTATAGATGGTGAAAGGGAACCGATTTTTATTCTTCACTTCATGTTCAAATCAAATCGTTGTACTAATCAATCACTTTTCCTTAATGCTGGCTTTGTTTCCCTAATTACTCTCGGCAACAACCACAATTCTTCTGGTGCGGCAATAGTTGTTATGCAACATTTATCGGCATAATCTTCGTGCTGTTACATGCATTATTTTGCTCACAGTTCATAGAAATAAAACAAATTGCAATGAAGTTCACTATGATCTCAATGGTTTCTGTCGGGGAAGCCAATGAATTGTACCCTGAACATAACGAAGAAAGGTTCATTGAACCGGTTATTAGGCTACCGATGTAGTTAGAATTTTTTGGAAAACAGCAAGTTATTCTTTGCTAACTAACACAATTTTAAAATGTTCTTTACAAGCCAGTGACTTTCAAACTCACACTCAGTCACTCTTGATATTTGGATAAATAAACCAGCACATGTTTTTCAGTTCTAAATTTGTTCCGATTTCTTATTCTGTTTTCACCACAAAACATGTTGACCAGATGGTTCTATGCAAAACTTCAATATGAAAGTTTTAAGAACAATTTCTTTTCTTTGAAAAGTTAGACTTCATTAAATCAATCTTTATTTGTATCCATTTGTTTATTTGTATCACACCTTGTCTGAAATATTTGAAGATGTATGTGTGTACATAGGTATATAAAAAAGACTTTTAAAAACCATAAAATTAATAGATGAGAAAAGCGGAGCAGAGTAAAAAGAAGGAAATGTAAGATAAAGAACATATGGTATAAATAAGGAAAAATCTCTCCAAGTGATTTTTTAAAAATGTATTTGTTTCCTTCATAACATAAATTCAACACTAAATCTTCCAATAATGACAGTAAAATAAATATGGTTAGCAACATAATTAATTAAAGTAGTTGTTTAATAGAAATATCACTGAAACTACCAGCATAGAGAATTTACATGTGTAAGATCTAAAAAAAAAAAAAGAAGAAGAAGCTGCTGTATTATCCAAATCATAATTCCTATAGCAAACAAGACAGCTTGCTTCACAATCCTGTTGCAGCCTAACAGGCTCACTTGGGTGAATGGGGAAAGAGCATTCATTTCAGGAAAAATAGATATGTGGAGAACCTTTGATATAAGGTCAAGTGTACAGGTTTTTTTCTTTTCTAGTTTGGTTTTAAAAAGCTTCTCTAGTTTTTCTTTCCTATCTTTTTTATCTTTACAATAAATTTCATTGACGTGTATTTACGTGAAGTACAATGCACCCTTTTTGAGTAAACATTAAGTGCATTTCTGTATGTATGTTAACTATATATCCATAGAGTTCCATGAAGTTTTCTTGTAGAAATTTTTCTTTTTTTTTTTTTTTAATAAATCAGAAGTTTATTTAACAAGGTCACTCCTGCACAAGGAGAGACTTAGATAAGTTACAATATGCTGGGATATGAAGAGACTGGTGTATGGCCGTAGATCTCACATCATCCTCCTTGGATTTCCCCCACTGTCTTGTAGCAATTTTTCATCCCTGCCCCGAACAACTACTGATCTACTTTCTGTCACTGTCGCTTAGAACTCATATAAATGGGATCATAACGTAAGTACTCTTAGATCTAACTTCTTTTACTCAGCATGACATTTTGGTATTTGTGTAGCTTGCTTCTTTTATTGCCAAGTAGTATTGCATTGTATGAGAGCACAGCTTTCTGTATTCATGGAATGACACGGCAGGTCTTCAGTACAAGGCTCTAATGTATTTGCCTGAGAATTAGGTAGGTGCCCTGCTTGCCAGAGCTATGATATCAAAGGCTGCAAGTTCCTCTGGAGTCCTCTTTTTCTCTTCTCTATTTCTTGAATATTTATTTATTTATTTATTTATTTATTTATTTATTTATTTGGTGGAACTGGGGATTGAACTCAGGCCCTTGTGCTTGCCAGACAAGTGCTTATTCTACTGAGCCATTTCCCCAGCCCTTTTTTCTATAATTGATTTATTTTCATTAAGCTTTCTAGTTCTATTCAAAGGTAGTGTTGCTGGGTTTTTTGTTGTTGTTTTCTTGATTTTTGGCAGATGTCTATTTAAATTTCAAATGAAGCATAGAACCAGAGGCAACATGATTCAGCTGCAATATAAGTAACATGCAAATCTGGGGTTGGAATACAACCAGCAAGAACCTGCCCAAAGAGTGAAGATTGCTGTGTTTCCTACATTGGAAGAAGGGAATACTCATGGAGAGACAGTGTTCTCCTGGGAAGAGGCTATTTCCAGAGTGTAAACATGTGCTGCACTATACCATGTAGGGGGCATTTTGCATAATATCTCCTAGTCAGTACATCACTTAAAGAACTGCATCCATGAAAGGCAATGGAACTCCAATGTATGTGAAAACTATCAAGAGCTTGAATTCAGCCAGCTAACACATATTCATGAGTTAGGTATAGGCAATCTTTGCTTTCAAATGGTTCAGATATGCACAAACTTTGATAAGAATTTTCATGATTAATACTACTACCCAGTTACGGTCCTGTTCAATTTCTTGCTGTCCTAGAAAAGAACTGAGGAGGACACTCAAGATGTACAACATGATTGATGATTTCATGGAAAAAGACAACATGTGATTCACAGGGTGAGATTGAATCAGTGTAAGGTCTCACTGTTCCAGGGAGCTCAGTGTTGGAAGTTTTAAGCCTCAGGGCCTGGGGTGTGAATGGAGGTTTGGTCCCAGGTATGTTTTCTGCCCACTAATGGCATCCTGGTCCTGGCCTAATGCTTAATGCAGACAGAGGATCCAGTCTGTTGTTCCAGCTATTTCCTAAAATACCTATTGTCTCAGATCAAGAACAGAAGGTGGGCTCCAAAACCAGCTGGCCTTGTCTTCTTTTGCCAATCTCCTCCTTTGCTATTTTCTGACTCAAAACCTTTCTCCAGAATAATAGTTCAATAAAATAACAAGCCTCAATGATATGACTTAGTTCTAGATTTCCTGGTATATGAATTTCAATGACTTGTTTTTCATTTTTTTTTAATTTTTAGGGGAAAACACACGAATGCAGTCCCCCACTACCACAAATGATGCAGTCCTCACATTTTGGGAAACCGGAAGGGTCAGCTCATCCAGATTGCAGTGGCTAAGCCTCCCCCTGGGAAAACCACCTTCATGGTCATGGAATCAATCTCCCCTACAAGGTAAGTATTATAGTGGCTTTTATTTCCAACTTTAATATTAGCTTTTCAACCCAAAAATCACTACATGAATATCTGATATATTTTAATATATATATTAAGCAGTCATTAGCCATCTCATATCACATTCATGGGGGTTGATTTTGAGCTCTTAATGAGCCTGTACCCGAGCAAAAACATGAAAATTGGGCTTCTCCTATTCTCACCATGGTCAGTCAATTTACAAAACTAGGTAATTGAAAGAGGAAAAATCACTAAAGCTGATATGAATGCCACGAGAAGGGGAGAGAGGAAAAATAAAAATGGCAATGCTAGAGGTGGAACAAGTGACTGGGAAAGTTGGAATCATCATTCAGGAGACTGAAGGAACAGTAAAAGAAATAAAGAAGAGATTGTTGACACAGATGAAGAGAGAAGTTGTGATAAAAAATCCTAATATCCTGTGAGGCCCTGATTCTGCCGTACAGTTTTCATCAGAAGGCATCCCAGATGTGCTGCTGCACGGGGAGGTCCAAGGGTAAAGGAGCTGCTCCAAATTTGGAAGAGTATAAAACTGACCAGGGCATGGAAAAGATGCTGACTTCATTTCCTGTGTTATACAAGAGAATCCCTTTTGGTTAGGTATTTCATACAAATGAAAAAACAAAACTATGCTTCACTATGCTTATAAAGTTTTGAATTCAAAATATTAATTAAATATTAATTTTTATTAATTTTAATATATATATTTAAGCAACAATAGAAAATTCTTAAAGTTTGCTAAAAAGTTTTCAAGGTCACAGCCATAAAGAACATTCCAGCAATTGTAAAAAGAGGTTTATATGTTTGCAAATTTCATTTTTACAGTCCCAAAGAACCATGAAAAGAGATGAATACTTGAATTAAAAATTCCAAGTAGGTAAATAAATCAATGAGCTAAAATATTATATTGTTAAAATGAAAATAGATTTTACATATGAAGGAACATTTTGAAGTATTATAGGAAAGCTAGAAAACAGATGAAGTTGTATTTATTTTAACAGTATTCATAACTTCCTCAAATGAGACATAAAAAAACTAAGACAGCAAACTGGAAACTGGTATTTATAGCACTTTCGTACAAAATAAATTACCAAGGTGGAGAATTCGAAGAAAAAAATAACAAATATCTCAAGTGACAGAAGAAATAAGCAACCTGTTTTGAAGCTGTTTCATTGCTATTTTTTCTCATTAAAATGAATAAAAAAATTTAAAAAGAACTGAAAGAAAATAAGAAATAATAGAGAAAAACAACCTCAGAAAACAGATCATATCAAATTGCAAGTAATGATAGTACATATAAGATTGCAAAAATTAAAAAGGAATAATTAAAAAGTAAGAAGTTCTTTCAATCTCCCTGAGGGCTAAAGTTTGGAGCTAGAGTCAGGAATGATTTATTCTAATAGAATCTGAACAATCAGGTAAAACTATGAGGAAACTGGCAAAGCCATGAGCATGACTTCAGAGTGCAAATTAGGATGAATTTTTAGGGAGAAATGTATAATAAAAACTTCAATTGTATGGATATTATAACAAAATTCCATCTTTAGAATTCATATTTATAAAACATTAATGAGCTCATTTCAAAATTCATGTAAACTATTGCTCATGTCTAGGCTACTTTGAAAATATAATGATAATTTCAGTATGCAACATGAGGCAACTAAGTGGTTGTGTTTTCACCTAATGAAATAAATATGAAGAACTTCACAAGACTTTTTTTTCTATGCATCTAGACCCATGTGCAGTAACATGTGGAAATGTTAAGTCCTAGAATCTCTTTCTGTGTGAATACTGTAAATACATGGAAGAAACTGAAAGTCCCCAGAGAGAAAAGAATCATTACAAAACAATCCACAGTGATCCCTTACTTATTGGGTTCTAGACACCCCCGCAATACGTGAAAATCAGCGAAGTAGTGACATTATATTTATTTCAGCATAAAGGCTTTATAAACTGTTCCCACACCCTTATAAACCTTTCCCACATTTTAAAAAAGAGTTCTAATGTCCTTAACCATTTTATAAACTCATAAACATATAATTTTAATAACATATGCATACTGTATGGTACTGCAGAATCCTGTGATACAGTGAAAATTCTGCTATAAATAATAAAGTTTAATATTTTTTTGAAAACCCGTGAAGCAGTCCGGGAAAGTCAAGCCACAAAGTGGCAAGGGCCTTCTATACACACAGCTCGTGTAGAAAGGACGGATGCTGTTGTCGCTGCTGTTGTTAATCACAATTTGTTGCTGAGCAATACATTTAGCAATTAAAATAATCATGTGGTGAAAAATAAAGTGATAGTATAAATTTAACAATTCTTTTTTCTTTTCAGAATCGAGAAATAATAATTGCTCTATCCAGCCCTTATGCAAGTTTCTAAACACTCTGTTTCTGGACTTGCCAGTTTCTAAGACCATATACTGAAATACAATTTGAGTAGCAATATTTCATTACACTGAATTCAGAAGAAGCTTGTTTTTTTTTTTTTCGTTTCAGAAGAAACTATTTATTTGCTAAATGGCATAGAAATTTATTATTCAAATGATTGCTGTCTATAACAGACACATATTGGTAGCTTTGTGCATCATATAGCACTAAGTACTAGCAGGGTAGACAAATCCTCACAGTGACCATACAATGTAGGTAGAATTACTCCATTCATTTTTTCTGTCTCTAATAATTTAGTGGGGTTTTTTATTTATTTTCATAGGCACAGAGAATTCCAACTGTTCTGTGTACACACAGTTAACAAATAGCAGACTGAGGGTGATAACCAAGGAGGTATGACTAAAGCTCACCTGTGCAAGGAATCATATTTTTCTCCTCTATCACAATTATGAAGAAAAATTTATCTAGTTAGATTTTAGGAATGGATATAGTACCTGGACAATGGAAAGAGAGTATTTTTCTGGTATAGTCTCATTTTTTGATTGCAGTAACCAAAAAACCTGACACAGACAACCTATAGGAGGAAAGTTTTATTACGGTTTGTGGTTTTAGAAGTGTCAGTTCATGGTCAACAGGCTCCACTGCTGCTATGGTGAGGAGAATCATCAAAGCGAAGAGGTCATATGAGGAAAATAACTTGCTTCATGAAAGCCGGGAAGGACAGTGGAAAGGGACAAGCTAGAGAGAAGAGGAGCTAGGGACAAAAATACATTTTTTAGGTCAGTGTGCTCCAGTGGTCTACTTTCTTCAGTCAGGCTTCATTCCTAACAGTCCATTCAGCTAATGAACTCATCAGTGAATTACGTCATTAATTCATGACTTCATGATTTGGCATCCTTATGAAATGCCTACCTCTGAACAGCTAAGCGTTTTGGAGAATATTTTAGGCCTAAACAGTAATAGCTGCTTAAATATGTGTACACACACACACACACACACACACACACACACACCCCTCACAGGCCTGTATGAGGAGGCAATTAGCCAAATTTTAATATGAAGCATTATCTAGAAACTTCTTTCTCTGTTTCATGAAATAGCAATTACTTTTTGCTATTACATGAATTCCCCATATTCACAATATAACTGGATGTGCAGCAAAATCAAAATATGTACTAAAGTGTGATTCAAAGTATAGTTGTTGGGGCCAGGGAGATGGCTTGGTAGAATAAGTACTTCCTTGGCAAGCACAAGGGCCTGAGTTCAATCCCTGGTTCCACAAAAAAAAAAAAAAAAAAAAAGACTCCTGTACTCATTTAATTTCTGACATTGCCAGTGAAGTGGAAGACCCAATACTATTATGGACTACTGGACTCTTTTAGAATATTTTGCTGAGTTAA